GGGGGGGGGGGGGGGGGGGGGGGGGGGGGGGGGGGGGCGGGGCTCGGAGTTGAGGAACGCCCTGAACACAAAACTTAATTCGTGGCCGCGGGATTATTGGGGTTAAGTGTAAGAGCACCTTTGTTCTCTTCTACTGGACTGTGAGAGCAAGGACAATGCCTCACTCCTTGTTGCTTCCCAGATGCCTGAAACAGTTCTTGACAAACAGGCACTTCGTCAACAGTAATTGTTTATTGCACCATCAAACACTATTTTTTTAAAGATTTTATTTATTTACTTGACAGAGAGAGCAAGTACAAGCAGGGCAAAGGGAGCGGGAGAAGCGGACTCCCTGATGAGCCGGGACACCCCGCCCACCAATGCGGGACTTGATCCAACCACTCCGGGATCATGACCTGAGCCAAAGGCAGACGCTTAACTGACTGAGCCGCCCATGCTCCCTGCACCACTACACACTATTACAGTTATTCTCGATTATGCAGGTGCGTGTAGGTCAGGTGTGCAACTGACTAGATAAGGCAAATGAGGCTTAATACGGGGAGGGGCATCAGGCTCACTTTCAGGGGTTCCCAGTGTAGGAACAGTTTTGGCCTGGGGTTACCTTCCTCAGGTTACTAGCTAGGGCGCACCTGCAGGAAGTTTCAGCCTCTCTGGTTACTAAGGAAAGCGTTCTGGGCACATGGCGGGCTTCGTGGGCTGGGCGTCTGCCTCGGGCTCCAGTCATGGTCCCAGTGGAGACCCAAATTGGACTCCCTGCTCCCGGGGAGCCTACTTTTCCCCTCCTTCTGACCCTCCTCCCTCTGTGCTCTCTCTGTCAAATAAATAAAATCTTTAAAAAAAAGTAAAAATAAAGGAAAGGGTTCCAAGCTAGGTAATGAGAAAAGCAATGGGTAGAACCGTGAGAACATGGCCATTGCCCATTTAAATTAAAGAGTGTGTCTTTGGGGAGGTGGGGGGGGGGCAGGGAGGGGGATAGTTCACGTTTATGTCTTTGTATGAAGAAGTTCCAGACGGCTACACAGGAAACGAATAAGCGTGGTTCGCTGTTACTGATGGGGGAGGTGGGTGGTCGAGGACTATGCCGGGAACAGAAGTGCTTCTTGTGTTTTTTATGGATGCAGTTAGGAAACCCTCGCAAGGGACTGCCTAGTAGAAACTGCAACAGAACCAAGTTTTAGCTGCATTGTCCCAAACGGCCAGCAGGTGGCGAGAGCGTGCGACGCCGTCCCGCAGTGGGCTGAAAGGGGGAGACTGGGCTTCCTCGCCGTGATTTCTGTGCGTCTTCATTCCTCTAAACGAGGAATAGATTCGTTAACCTGGCCGACTCCTTAAAAAAACTTTTTGGGGGCAGGGCGGGGTGCAGTGGAGGCAGGTGGGGCAGGGACTGAGGCCGTGTTGAAGCACCCCCGGAATCTCCGGGGATTACCAGCATCCTGCCCACGCCGGCGGGCTCTCCCGGCTTCACTGGGCCCGAGGGGGACACCAGCTGTCCTTTCAGCGTTGAGTATTGTCACAAACGTCCCAACAGATACAGAGATAAACAAAACACCGGATTCTCGCACCGAAAGTAACTTAGAAGTGATCATTTGTAAAATCATCCAATACCTAGTGGTTAAAACAACAACAACTCCACAACACTCAATTGCCTCAAATACTTTTCTACAATGATTTTATCTGAATTAGGATTCCGTTGGTTGCTATCTGTTTTAATTCCTAATAACCAAATCTCCAAATAGTCGAGTTTGCTCTTTGGGAAAGGACTGAGAAAGGATAATCTGGGTAATGGCAATTCTCATTGTTCATGGATTGTCATGTTTGTAGACCCTTTCTGTGAAAAGTGCTGGGAGAAGTTTTCTCTAAAAAACAAAAGTAATTACTGATATATTCCATTCATATTCCGTTCACATTAAATTTAGCATCTTTAAGTTTAAAATTGAAACATTTTTGCTCTGAAAACCTTAGTTTTTTACACAATAAGCAAACAAACTTATTTTCTGTATCCATAGACATAATAGGAAACATATTTTAACACTTTCATTATTCTGAATTAGGAACCAGAAGGAAAGAGAGAAGAAAAGAAGGTTTGAACCTAAAAATCTGACCTCAGGTAAGGTCAAGGTCAGACTTCAGTGGAAACAGACTTTTCAATCCTTTCTTCATTTTTAACTGACATTCACTAATATTCACTAATAATAGAACCTAGAAGTCACGATGTTGCAAAATAGCTTAAGAGAAAAGGCCTCCTCTAATGAGGTATAATGGAACACTCTTCTTCCTGGCTAGTACATTTGTTTCTTGTTTTAAAAAGTCCTTCTTTCTAATATTTTCCTATTTTATCTTCCAAAGGCCTTAGTGGTTTTCTACTTACATTTCGGGTCTTCCACCAAAAACCATCCCATGACCAGTTGCCATGATCAAGTTTTTTGAGCAGTCCATCTTTTCCTCACTAACCTGAAATCTCACCTCTCTGTTTTCTGAAGTTTCAAAAAAAAATTAGATGTGATCCTTGGCTTCCTATCTAATTCAGTTGGTCAATGCGCCCATCTCTCTGCAGTGCTCCATAGTATTAGATAAGTCTTTTATCACTAAATCATATTCTTCCTCTCATTGAGAGTTTCTTGGATTTTTTAAAATCACTTCACTCTTCAAATAAATGTTAGAATTAGCTTCCAAATTCTAAAACTAACATTAGGATTTTGACTGGAAGTACCTTGAAGAATTATACCAACTTTAGAAAAACTGACATCTCTATGCTATTTAATATTTCTTGTCCATGAACATAATACATCTTATAATACCTTTAAATAAGAGTCTGATAGCATTGGATTTCTTAATCCTCCAATGCAGTTATTTGTGGTCATATAAACATATATATATATATATATATATATATATATATATATATATTTAATAACTTTTGAAAAAGTTTGTTGTTGGACAGAAACTCAGTTAATTTTTGTAAATTGAGAAATAATGACCAAAACCCAAAATTCACTCCTTTGCACATACTGCTTCTCCATTATGATGATTTGCTCATTTTGCTTGTCTCGGTCATATTTTAAGAGCATGCAAAATCTTTTTAGTTATAGAAAATAGCTCATAATCCAGAATCCACTACTCTTCTCGTTCTACTGTGAGTCCATCTACATATTGTGTAACTTGTAGGGTTATATGGCACCAAGATACCCTAAATAAAATACTAAGGGAGAAGGAAAGAAAAACCAGTGATTAGATTAAATAGTCAAATATGTGAAATATCACAGAAGGAAATATGGGTAGACAGGACAGTTTTTCTCAACTCAGTTATCTAAAATCCATTTCACCAAGTAACTAATTGGTGACTAATAAGAATTATTGAAACTTTATTTGTGTATTTATCAATTTTGTAGTAACTTACATTAGTGTAGTTTAACTTGTATTTGAAGATTTCTGAGACTAAGTTGATTGGCTTTCAGTGTGTATTTTTTATGACAGCCTTTTAAAGAACACTCAGACTGTCTCTGTCCCATTGTCTGCCCATTCTCCTAAAAAGAAAGTGCAAGAGGGAAGAAGGAAAACGAAAACTTAAGATTGGGAAACAAAGGATTCTAAAGGCCTAAATCCAAAGACCTAAATCTTTACCAAACATCTCTTAAGCCCGCTAGTGAATCTAACTAAAGTTGCTTTAACTTTACCTAAAAAACGACCCACTTTCGGTAAATCAATAGAATTTAATAGAGTCATCTCAGTGTCCACTGGCCGAGGCATTCCTCCTTTGAATACCAAAAACAAAAAACCAAAAATCTAATAAACTGGACGGAGCGCGCGCTGAGGTTCAAGGATGGAAAGGTGCAAGGATGGTGATCAAATCCTGTACCTGACGGACCCTCCGTTTCTGCCTCTCTGTTCTTTAACCAATGTGTTTTGGCAATGGCGGAAATTATGGCTACACTCTGTCAGTCTTCAGGACCTATACATCATCCAGCTGAAAAGGACTCCAATAACTTGCCAAACTCCTAGACACCACTTTCAATGAGTCTTCTAGTAACTGACGAGGCTGCCGTCATGAAGTCTGCACTACACGCTGAGACTACTGAGTCCCACGGCCCTCTCTGCATTGCCTCACCTTTTCTCTATAATGTAGTGAAATGGGGGAAAATAGTGTTGTGAGATAGGAGGCGTAAAGTATTCAGTAAGTTCATAGGTAAGCTTGTTAGCAATGGCCTGAGAGTGAAACACACCAAATCTAGAATGAGCATCTATCTCGGTGAAGTCCTGTATTTGCCTCATGAGGACAAAATGGATCCAGGAAGACTTGTCCTAGGATATGGGACACTTGGCAGAGTCTGTATCCAGGTCAGCTCTGCCGAACTAAGTCTATATTGAAGAGCTCCTATATAACCTCTACTCCGGGCCACCTCGCTTACCAACTGCTTGGGCAGTAGGAAGGGTGCTGAGAAAAGAAACAGTGACATGCACATGGCTGGTATTATCTGCCTGATTACTGAGAGCGTCCTTGGAAGTATGGACCTCGTGGTTGGCGTTGGCATGGGCCAACACTATTTTTAGACTCTAGGACCATTTTGAGTTCATTCATCTCATTCTTCCCCAAAACTTGTCAACAAACCCCCACTTTTGTCTTCTTCGCATCTTTGCCTCACTAGACAAACCAGTCACACGCCTGAATCACTTTAGATCAATGTCGTAGATCATTTCTCTTCCCAGCAAAAGTAAACAATGAGATGCAATACTCCCACTTCTTCCCAGTGGCAACAATCCTCCTCTCCTCCCTCTTGTCTTTCACAGATGCTCCTGAGTGTACGTTGTTATTACTCTTTCTAATACGTCTGCTATGATTGCTGTCAGCAGTGGGATTACATCCCATAAATTGAATACTTACCATATGTGAGACATTGTTCCACGCATGTTGAAAATGTTCATTCTTCAGAAGCACTACTCTACCCCCTTTTTAAATGAGGAAAAAAGCTAGAGAAATTAATGTGTAAGTGCAAATTTTAAGTTCCACGGCCTAGTTTCAAACCTAGATAGTCTTTCTCAATTAGCAATGTATAAGAAACTCCTCCTGTTATTAAAAATAAAAAGCACAACTATGTTTCAGAAGTAGAAATAATTGCAGTGTGAGCTGTTTGCTCTAACAGTTATTTTCTTCCTTCAGCAGTTGCTCAGGCTGGGCCTGGTATATATCGCTTCTGTATGACAATCGAATACTGATGTATACATCATAGTTTTGTAGATCTGATGGTGTGCAGGTAATAGTAGGAGCACAAACCACATGTTTACCTGGTTTCCCAATGTCAAGTGTATAGTATAGTTTCCATAGTAAATGAGAACAGATTCACTGACAAAGAGTAGAAAGAGTATTAGTAATGTGCAAGAAAAGTTCTTCAGAAACCCTTTTTTTATTATTAAAATTTAAAAATTCTGCTCTACTTTGATGTGCAGAATCCAAATATGCCTTCATGCAATGCAAACTCTAAAGAGAGTTGCATATCCAACATTTGGGGGCAATATCAAGAAAAGTGACACTTTGAAATTAAATCTTAAGATAAGTCATTCAAATCAATGACTAGTTTGTAAATGTAGTTATTACTAATTGGAAATTTACCATATATTATCAAAACTTGAAAGTAAAATTAACCAAAGTTCTATTACAATGGAATTAACTTTAACATACCAAAGGGATAATGGAAGAACAGATCAGCTGCATGGTGTCTAGATATAGGGCCACTGACCTTTCCATAGACTTTGTCAGTGGGGCTCTTTTAACTCCCCTGGGGACTGGGTGCCTTGATTTCAACAACTGTTGGCGATTAGTTTAAAAAGAAACAAGTGCACAGTAGAACAATGAATATAATCATTTGCTATAGCTGGAAAAAGGGTTATATACAAGCAGCTAGTTGTAACACAATGTTCTAGGCATTCTGGTTTGTGGTTTCCTGGGAAGACCTGTCAAATAGTCCTAAGTACTTTGAGCAACAAATATCTTTTTATTTTGTGATATATTTCACAGTGTATTTTTTTCAATGACGTACCGTGTTAGTTTAGCTTTGAACCAATTCTTCTGAAGCTGATTAACAACGGGTTAAAGTGATAACACTTTTTCAAGGAAAGTATAAAAACCTTGCCTTATTTTCAAGGGGACTCCATCACGGTACAAATTACCTCAAAGATGAAAATTTGATTTATTTACCTGATTTGTTTATGGCCTAGGCAGTTTGATTTTCTGAGTAATAGGAGAATTAGCTGGGATCTTTTCAAGTTAGTAGTTTTTAAAAACTTAGTAATTCCAAATTTTCATCTGGGAATGGACTATTGCCCATGGCTCATCTTCTGTCTCAATCTCTGTTCTTTTTCTTTTCTTTAAGATTTTTTATTTATTTATTTGACAGAGAAGAGAGACAGTGAGAGAGGCAACACAAGCAGGGGGAGTGGGAGAGGGAGAAACAGGCTTCCTGCTGAGCAGGTAGCCTGATGTGGGGCTCGATTCCAGGACCCTGGGATCATGATCTGAGCTGAAGGCAGACATATAAGGACTGAACCACCCAGGCGCCCCCAAGTCCTTTTCTTTTTTATTCTGATTTCTATATCCTATAAGACAAACAACAAAAAAAGTATTTAGCTTGGAAATTATCATCTGACTATCTGAATTAATGGAGAGGAGCCAGGGGCTCATGTGACATGTGACAGAAGTGACAAGAATTATTTATGTTCTGTTTATTTACAGATACTCAGTTACTATTAGTGTGGGATGGAGATGAAGGAAAGAACTTTCTTTCTTTGTTTTTTCTGTTATGACTGGACATTGACTATGTGGAAACATACAACAAACCAGTTAGTAGCAATTCAAACCGATATATATGAGGAACTATATGGAGGCAGTTCCCAAATGCTGGACAAACTGTTGGAAGAAGCTCGAAAACAGAAGGCAATTTCAGAGAGCAGGCAGATTGAAGTGGGCATTGAAATATGAGTAGGATTTGAGTCAACAAGCTACTGTGTTAAATTTAAATCCGTTTAGATAAACTAGATAATATATTTAAATTAAACGCTTTTAAAATTACCTAACCCCCAAACCAGCACCTTGATGAAGCTTCCAAATGCTTTATAGATCGTGGCTTTGAAGCAAAGAAACACTAAATATTGAAAAGTTACAATCCAGAGACGTACAATTGGGTGACTGGTTCTTATTTACAACAGCCTGACATGGGGTTTGTTATTCCTCACCGGTTCCAGGCAATGTCAAACATAGGATTTAAAACAGCAACAAAAGGAACTTTAAAATAAATACTGATTTTTGTTTCAAGAGAGTCTAGGATAAATGCCATCAAGCTTCTTTGCCTTCACTGGACACCCTCCCAACCCCACACCCCCCATAGAGCCATTTCGTCCTGTAGTATTTTCCAGCCTATGGATATATGGCAAAGGGAAAGCGGCGCCCTAAACAGAAATAAACCAAGGATACTTCTGGGCCTGAAAATGACATCCGCCAAATTCCTTTCTGACGAAAATTCCGAGGAAAATTATAAACGTCATTCCCACAAGGATAGAACGCTCAAGTCGAGGACAATAGAAAGCAGCCCAGACCGCGCGAGAATGTTCCCTCCGGGGGCTGCTGCGTGCGGGCCGATGGTGCTCTCGGCCGGGAGTGGCCGCCGGTCCCCGCGCGGCTGGACCGGCGGGCGCGACCCAGTTGCCGGCAGCCAATTGGGGCGCCGAGAGGACGGGCGGCAAATTCAAAGTGCCGGCGCCACCCCCACGCCCAACGCTTTACTCCCGACAAACTGGGGAGTATTTGAAGAATTTGCTTCGAGTTTAGCTTGGTCTACCATCGTCATTTGATCCCGATGGTGATCACAACCAGTTTAAGAGGCCTTTTGAAAACCCAAGGGAAAGTGACAAACTCAGCGCTGTTACTTTGCACAAAGGAGTTACAGACCTTTGGCAGGGTCTGGTAATATTTTTGTTGTTTAGTTACCGGGACAAGAAAACTGACATTGTTCAGTGATTGCCGTTCCTCGCAGACCAATTACCGCAAAATTCCAGGAGGCAGCGCAGAGTGGAAACAAGAGGCAGCTCTCTTTTTGAGAACATGGGTGGCTCTTAAAAGAGCCTTTAGTTTTCAATTCGCAGCTAAGTCGCTGTTTACTTGGCGCTGGTGTACTTGGTGACGGCCTTGGTGCCCTCGGACACGGCGTGCTTGGCCAGCTCCCCGGGCAGCAGCAGGCGCACGGCCGTCTGGATCTCCCTGGACGTGATGGTCGAGCGCTTGTTGTAGTGCGCCAGGCGGGACGCCTCGCCAGCGATGCGCTCGAAGATGTCGTTGACGAACGAGTTCATGATGCCCATGGCCTTGGACGAGATGCCCGTGTCGGGGTGCACCTGCTTCAGCACCTTGTACACGTACACCGAGTAGCTCTCCTTGCGGCTGCGTTTGCGCTTCTTGCCGTCCTTCTTCTGCGCCTTGGTCACCGCCTTCTTGGAGCCCTTCTTCGGGGCCGGCGCCGACTTGGCAGGTTCAGGCATGATTCGGAAAAGTTCAGTCCTCTGCAAAACAAAAAATGACAGAAAACGTATCGCTCCCATTTATATAGAAGCCTTTATGCAAATGAAGTGTAAATTACAGTCCTGTGTCTGATTGGTGGCCATTCAAGGCAACGTCAGAAGTTAGTGCTGCCCAATCAGAATGCAAGAATCCCAAAGTTGCCATTTCCATTGGTTAAAATGGAACTGCAATCTCAACCAATGAAAAATTTTCTTTTTCAAGCCCAATAAGGGTTATAAAAAGTGCTGCCCTTGCGCTTCCATTTTGACAACTTACTGCAGTGTTAAAACTTAGGACAAGGATGTCTGGACGCGGGAAGCAGGGCGGCAAGGCGCGCGCCAAGGCCAAGACGCGCTCCTCGCGGGCAGGTCTGCAGTTCCCAGTGGGCCGCGTGCACCGCCTGCTCCGCAAGGGCAACTACTCGGAGCGGGTCGGGGCCGGCGCGCCCGTGTACCTGGCGGCCGTGCTCGAGTACCTGACGGCCGAGATCCTGGAGCTGGCGGGCAACGCGGCGCGCGACAACAAGAAGACGCGCATCATCCCGCGCCACCTGCAGCTGGCCATCCGCAACGACGAGGAGCTCAACAAGCTGCTGGGCCGCGTCACCATCGCGCAGGGCGGCGTGCTGCCCAATATCCAGGCCGTGCTGCTGCCCAAGAAGACCGAGAGCCACCACAAGGCCAAGGGCAAGTAGAATGGTAGAATGCGCAGTTCAAATCTCCTGTCTAAACCCAAAGGCTCTTTTCAGGGCCACCTATATTTTCTGGAAAAGAACTCTAACATTTTACTCTGTTAAATGGGAAGAGCAGGTGAAGCCTAGAAAAGCGGGGTGTTTTTTAACAACTATCCCAGATTGAAAACCCACCTCCCTATGTCTAGTCCAAAACTGCCATGTACGATAGATTGCCGCATTTGAGATTTGCAGTAATTGTAAACACCTATTACGTACCTCGTGTCATTGTTTAGGTAGGTAGTGTGCGTCCACAGGCAGCTATTAGCTTTTGTAAGTTGACATTTTTGGTGCACATCAGCTTTCCTGGCTGAGTTTAGCAGCTGGCTACGGGCGGCGTGAAGAAGCCGCACCGCTACCGGCCCGGCACGGTGGCCCTGCGCGAGATCCGGCGCTACCAGAAGTCCACCGAGCTGCTGATCCGCAAGCTGCCGTTCCAGCGGCTGGTGCGCGAGATCGCGCAGGACTTCAAGACCGACCTGCGCTTCCAGAGCTCGGCCGTCATGGCGCTGCAGGAGGCGTGCGAGGCCTACCTGGTGGGGCTCTTCGAGGACACCAACCTCTGCGCCATCCACGCCAAGCGCGTCACCATCATGCCCAAGGACACCCGGGTCCCCTACAGGTTAATGGAGGGCCTCATTACAGGATAGCCCCCCCCCACCCATCCAAAGGCTGTCAGGAGCCACACCCGTGTTTGCTAACTGTAGACCTGCTCTGAGGCACTGCCTCCCCCATCACCCTCGATGTTGCCAAATGAATAAAATATTGGGATTACATTGGTATGTAGGACACCATTCTGGAGCCCGAGAAAACTTTCACATCTGGGAGGAACTAAAATCTTCAGGGCTGTTGCCTCAGGGTAATTTCTGTCGAACCTTAACATTTAAGGGAAGTTTCTCGTAACTAGTGCAATTGAAATGTGCAATGTTGCTAATCCCGCAGGCTGCTCTGCCTTCCAGACTCACAGGAACGAGTGGAGTCAGAAAAATACTATAGAGGAGTCTGATATGGTTTGACCAAGGGCTGCTTAGGAATGAAGTATAGTGTGTGGCGGGTTTCTGACAAACCCTGGCCTCTCCGAGGGGGCAGGGTTAGGGATGGAGGAAGGTCTGTTGACGAACACCACACTTTTGTTGCTGTTAGGGAGTAAGGAAATAAGGAAAACCCCTGCCAACTGGTTTTATTGCCCAGGGTAAAGAATCTTGCCTCCTACTCTCTGTTCACTGTACTCCTTTAACTGATGTCATCTCAAAAAGGGGACGGGGGGAGCGGGAAGCATTCTTGGGTTTTTTTTTTCTTGAATGTCTTGCATAACCTTGGCTGTCCAGTGACATTTATGGAAATCCTTCTCAGAATAATATTTGAGGTGCATAAAACACAAACATTACAAAAAACGTAACCCTTTAGTTACTGATGTATTTTTAATAAAAATAAATTCGATAGGACTGACATGTGCCTAACTAGCGAACATGTTCTATGATACATGCTTGATGAGCCTAACAACTGCCATCACTAATCAGACGAGTAAATAACTAACGGTTCAAAGTAATTTGGCAATTGTTATGAGAAATGGGATTATCTGCGATTTCCACTGGGTGACAAGTACTGAGGTTTGTGGCCTAAATTCACTGTAAAGAGCAGTCAGGTAAATTATGCTTCCCCATCCCAACTTAATGTGGTTTCTCCTCACTACCATGCACTCCCCACCATGCACTGCCGATTTGTGGCGTATACGGACTTCAGCTTAAAAACCCTTGTTGTAAAATTTGATTGACCTGCCTGTGACTTTTCAGCCTGCCTAATTATAATTTATCCCTGAAAGCACCGCTTCCTATCTGGGATTTCTTTAACAAAGTCTATTAATATGTCATATTAATATTCATACCATTGTTCCTATTTCTTGTACTTAAAACCTAACTTTTTTTTAAGGTAAATAGGACTTTTTGGAACGAAAATAAACACTGATGACAGCACCTAACAATAACAGGCACTCAGATGCACCCGCTCCCATAAGATATTTGACTTTTTGATGGGCTTTTTAGAAGCTGTGTGACCCAAATGATTTTACTCATTATTCAGTTGTTCTGTCCTTAAATATGTCTTCCCATTTTAGGGAAAGAAAAATGACTTTTCCTCTACTCTTCTGAGTGTTCGGCTGAGATCCCTGTAATCAAAGACAGTTTTCCCAAAAGAAAAACACGGACTTTTATTAACATTGCTAAAGAACAAAAATTCAACTGAGTAAATTTAAAAGTCAAATTGGCTTTATTCAATGATTCACAGGGCAGGTAGCATCCCACCAGGCAATAGAAAGGCGTTCTGGGGAGCTGTAGAAAAGAAAAGGCTTTTAAAGGTGAAAGGTTGCAGAAAAAAAGAAACTATTAGCAGCTAAGAATGCATTGTTTCAGGCAAGGTCATCTTTCTAAAGGGGCGGGCCTATTGGGTGGATTGTATCACTAGCAGACTAGGTTAATTGCACTTGGCTAAAGGTTACATTCCTGGGGGTGGCAGTGGGACTCCAGGGGAGTGAGATTGTGACGAGATTAGGTATTAAATCTTGGTTTGCTGATGTGGGGTTTACTCAAGTGACTCCATGTGGGGCTTGCTGTCTCCTTTCTAACATGTGTACCTCGTGTACATATGGGAGCCACACTGCAGACAACCAGGAACCCCCAAGGTGCCTTAAAAATACCGTTTAAATACTGCCTTCCACTTGTCAGGGAGCAAGAATTCCTGTCCCCTTCAAGGGTCCTTCCGGCTGGACTAAGAATCCAGCTGACTTGAGAAAGATTAACAGGAGAAAAGTCTAATTTAATAGCATTTGTACAGGGAATCCACACAGACCTGGAAATTCCAAAGACAGGCAAAAGAAGGCATATATCTCATTCTGAACTAAGATGGCGTCTGGGATTTTGGAGGGAAGGGATGACCTTCATGAGGCAGTAAGAAGGGCAGGTGTTCCGTAATTAGATGTTTGCCCTGCCATAGAGATGTTATGCCCAAGTTTTCGCATCTGAGAGACCACCAAGGAACCAACACTGATGTAATCACACGAGGGTTTATTTGACAAGATTAAGCTTGGCCCCAAGTATACCCGACACAGCGGAGTAGGGGCTTGGACCCTGAACCAGATTACAGTCAGAGTTTTTAAAGACAGAGTAGGGGTGGATTTGGCAGTAGGTGATTGGGCCACGATCGCAACCCTATGTTCTTGTGATTTTTTACAGTGTTAAGTTGTCCTATTTCTGACATGATTTATCGCAACCCTATGTTCTTGTGATTTTTTACAGTGTTAAGTTGTCCTATTTCTGACATGATTTATTACAACGTCAAGCTATCCTACTCCTGACATGACTTATTACCTTGTTAAGCTATCCTATTCCTTTTTTTTTTTAATTTTATTTATTTATTTGACAGAGAGAAATCACAAGTAGGTAGAGAGGCAGGCAGAGAGAGAGGAGGAAGCAGGCTCCCTGCTGAGCAGAAAGCCGGATATGGGGCTTGAACCCAGGACCTGGGATCATGACCTGAGCTGAAGGCAGTGGCTTAACCCACTGAGCCACCCAGGCGCCCCAGCTATCCTATTCCTAATTAGTTTTTGGTATGGTGTTTTGTTTTCAAAACTTGGTCAGTCTTCCTGGAGCCGGGGATCATTTACCCCTCACGAAGGCCTAAGATGGCTGCCGGGGCCAAGATGGCTGTACTTGATGTCAAGGCTAGACTTGAGGTGGGTACAGCCTTGGTTTTTTTGGCCTCCACAAGAGATGGGTCCCTCGGAAAACGTTTACCTCTGTTAATAACCCTCTTCTGGGAACAACCCCAATTTAGATTTTTCTATGTACCTATGGGAGGGACAAAAGTTTCTCTCGAGCCCACAGGGTCTTTATTGTCTTCAGCTCGGCCCATCTTTGGGGCTTCCTGCCCTCGGCCCTTATAAGCCTACCACAAAAGGTGAGGGGAAGTTAGTTATGGGAAGCTTACCAGGAAAACAAGAATCAAGTTTGTTAGGCAGATTTAATTTGGGGCCCTCTCCACTGATAAAGGTCTAAAGCTGCCTACTGGCGTTGCTGGGTGAACTGGGAGACCTGGGCCCTGAGGTCTAGACCCAACCTATATCAAAGATGTCGCTGAAGGCTCTTGGTCTCCTCACGAGAAAGAATTCAAGGGCAGACGCAACACAGTGTATGAGAGGTACAAGCAGGAAAGTTGATTGAAACCAAAGAACACTCAGGATGTGAGAGAGCATGGTGAGCTCAAGAGGGAGAACCATGCGTCCTGGAGTTAGGGTTTCTTTCACTGACAGTTGTTAACCAGCGGGCAAAATAGTCATTACTTGGGGCCGGAAGCAGGGTCTCTTCACCGGGTCAGGGGTTTTCAGTCGTGGCGCCGCCATCTTGGGCCTGTCTGGTGGGATCCGGCTTCTCGCCGACGCTGCCCCGACCTGCCTCTGATCTTCCGCACAGCCGGCCGTGGCCTCCTTCTTGATGGCCTCGGGCCATCCCGGTAGAGCGTAAACTAACTGCCTACCCAGACACTGGGATTAACCTATGTCCCTCCTGGTAGAGAGGGAAGGAGGGACAGCTTTGTAAATCTACTTCCTGCTTTTAGGCGATTAAGCGGAAAGACAAAAAGCGTTTCTTCTCTCTGCTTCATCTCAAACGCCTTCAGCTCAAAATCAACCTTACGCCAGAGTGGAATATTTTGGGGTGGCCTATTAAGCTATCTTTTAATACCTAATGCTAATATTTGTATTTATTAGTACAGTATTAGGTCTGTATTAATAAAAAATCTGAAATCTGCATTATATTTCTAAATGATACACAGAATATTTCTAAACAAAAGTTTTAAACAAAGGAAAGCTGTCTCTTTACCATACTTTTAAGGATTTTTTTCCCCTAATGTTCTGGATTAATGTAATTGAGCACTTTTTCCTTTATTTGTAGATATTCGTATATCCCTTACAGACAATTTGAATGATCTACTCATTTCAAGTTCCATAGGCTTGATGAGAATTTTTTATAATAGTGCAGAGAAACAATAAGAAAACCATGTGGGCATTGTAAGGAGATTAGGGGGAGAGGGGACAGAGGCAAGAGGAGGGAAGGATGGTTACCAGTCCTTCCTTTAGCCTGATGACCTGCCCTTGCCTTGGCTGGATTCTGCTCCTTCCCCCTTACAGTCCCTAATCAATTTATTTGCAGGCTGCAGCCCGAATCAAAGGGGACTAGGAGGCCTGGTTTCTCTCCTGTGGAATAAAGCAAACTGGAAGACACTGACCACAGCGACCGTTTCTTAGAAATAATACACAAAATAAACACTGAAAAGCTGTACCATTGTAAGGGAACTCATGTGCGAGTTCATTCCCCTGGGAATCACAGATAGAAACTGCACCAGGTGGCTCAGTCAGTTAAGTGCCCGACTCTCGATTTCGGCTCAAGTCATCATCCCCTGTTGTGGGATCGCACCCAGCCCTGGGATTTGCACTCAGCATGGCGTCTGCTTGTCCCTCTCCCTCAGCAACTCCCTGGCTCTCTTCTCTTTCAAATACATAAAATCTTAAAAAAAGAAACTGCACCAGGTGAGTTGTCCCACAAAGGAAACTTTATCTGCAGCAAATAAGGAGACCACAGGGAATAACTTCCAAAACCATGACTCCCCAGGCAATGGTGAATGGGTTCCTTTTATGTAGGGTTAGGGTGAATATGTAGGAAGATGAGCCTTGTCCTTGTATGTATAGGCAGGCATAGCCTCACATGCGCCTTAAAAAACATGCCTAGACTCACATTGTGTGTTATGGAAATGAGCCTTGTGCTCGGTGGGCAGATTTTAGTATGATAATGAAGTACAGGTCACTGTAAGTCACTCTGTGGGTCACTCAGTGGTCCACCCGCAGAGGTCGGAGTCCTGATTAGTTCAAACTGGTCTGGGTGATCTGGTTGGTTTTTAATGCTTGAAGGGTAGGTTCACTTTCCATCACGGGATACTGCTCCTGGGGTCAGCTGCCGGAGCTAAGAGATCAGCTGGAAAGAAGAGCGTCAGGAAAATGTGGGACAAACATCAATGAGTACAAGCAGGTGGGCAGCAAAGGTCAGGTCTTGGGGCCTAGCAGATGACATTGTCACTTTCCTCCTGGAGTCCATCACTTTCCTGCTGATATTCCATCTGGTAAAGGATGAGAAAACCAAATTCTCCATTGAAAATTTGGTTAAGGGGGCACCTGGGTGGCTCAGTAGGTTAAAGCCTCTGCCTTCGGCTCAGGTCATGATCCCAGGGTCCTGGAGCCCCACATCCGGCTCTCTGCTCAGCAGGGAACCTGCTCCCCCCACCCCTGCCTGCCTCTCTGCCTACTTGTGATCTCTGTCTGTCAAATAAATAAATAAAATCTTTAAAAAAAAGAAAAGAAAAGAAAATTTGGTTAAGGGGTACCTGGGTGGCTCAGTCGGTTAAGCGGCTGCCTTGGCTCAGGTCACGATCTCAGGGTTCTGGGATGGAGCCCCATTTCGGTCTCCTTCCTCAGTGGAGAGCCTGCTTCTTCCGCTCCCACTGCCCCTGCTTGTGTTCCCTCTCTTGCTGTGTCTTTCTGTGTCAAATAAATAAAATGAAATCTTTTAAAAAAGAAAAAGAAAAAGCTTTGTATTTTTACAAAATAATATACTGTAGGTTTATAAATAAATAAATGCCTTTGGCTATCAATTTCAGAAACTATAAAAAGAGCCTGACCAACTTTTCAGATATCCATCCATTGCTACCTTCTATCACGACTAGTGTTATGCAAGTATCCATTAAATCAGATGAAGAGGGAGGCTACTGGTTGGTGGGAATTTTACTGATTTTTAAAGTAGAGAGAGTAAGGTCTGTAAAAGGTATTCCAATGAACTAATGTTGGGGAAATATAAGGAAAAAAAAGAAAATTTTTTTTAAGATTTTACTTATTTATTTGACAAAGAGAGACATAGTGAGAGAGCTCAAGCAGGGGGAGTGGGGGAGGGAGAAAGCAGGCTTCCCTCGGAGCAGGGAGCCTGATGCAGGTCTCTGTCCAAGGACCCTGGGATCATTACATGAGCTGAAGGCAGATGCCTAAAGACTGAGCCACCCAGGTGCCCCAAGAAAATAATTTTATTGTTCAGTAAGCATAAAGCCATAATATTAGGCTCATCACTGGCAATCTTCTAAAGAGATGGCAAAGACAAAGAAATCTCACTTTTTTTAGAGCTAATCGGATACAACCCTTTACATCAGGTAGGATTTGCAATGTAGTCTCAGATACCAGCTGAAGTTAAATTGCCTTTTCAAGAAACTGACAAATAGAGTACTGTTTTCCTTGATGATTACATTTCAAAATAAAGGAGTCAAAGATCCTTGAGGAAAGTTCCTGAGTTAAGAGGCTGGCCAAAGACTTATTTACCCATCAGAAGGATTTACATACATTTGGAAAGGATAGAGAAAGAAATTCTGAAAGAGAAAAAGGGAATAGAGGGACCTTCAGAGAAAAGTCCGTCTCTTATCTTCCATTTGTATTTGCCCTTAAACTAAACTATGCTATCCCTCCCCTCTATTAAAATATACTGATTTTGCCTCCCACTATCTGAATCAGTATTGTTTCTTCAAGTGTTTGGCAAGTTTTCTTTTATTGCAACATAAATGCAGAAAAAAAATCTCAATATTTTAATGACATTTAGAAATTCTTTTTATTTATTTTATGAAATTTAAACGGAATACTTTGGAAATACTGTAATGCAACATCTCTAAAAGTAAGTCATTGAAATAAAGGATAGCAAGAAAATAATTGGATAACAAGGGGATTCCATGCTAATTCTGAAAATAGTGATTAAAATTTCTCAGAATTTAAGCAATATTGTATATGTATTTATACTATATATATTTAACTAAGTATATCATTGTATTTATATTTGTTTATTATATATATTTAACTAAGTATATAATATTAAGTATATTCTTTTAATAAAGAATTTCTTAGGGTCTTCTGGATGGCTCAGTCAGTTAAGCGTCTGCCTTCAGCTCAGGTCATAATCCTGGGGTCCTGGGATTGAGCCCCATATGTGGCTCCCTGCTCAGTGGGGAGTCTGCTTCTTCCTCTGTCTGCTGCTCCCCTTGCTTGTGCTCCCTCTCTCTCTCTGACAAACAAATAAATAAAATCTTAAAAAAAGAATAAAAATTTTTTTTCTTAGAAAGACCAAAGTATACTTTCTTTTCCCTGAATTTGAATTTTCTACTTGTTTGTTTGTTTATGACAAGTTAATTGCTCTTGTAGTTAATTAAAGTTTTAGAAAGTTTTTTAAAATTATATTTATCTAGGAAAAAAAAAAAAAAGACCACTACTGAGATACACTGAAAGACCTAGTATGATGGAGAGATTCAGTATTTTTCAGGTTAGGAGGGCACAATATTCTAAAGCTAATAAATTTACCATAATAAATGTACAGCCAAATACTAAGATATTTTTCAATGTTTCAAATAATTATAATACTTCAGCAGTACACACAGACTGATCAACAGAACAGTGAGAATTCAAGAAATAATTTTAAGTGAACTTTTCCATATATAAACAATTAATTTCCTCAAACCAGTTGAGAAAATACATGTTATACTGATTAACCAGCCTGTTAACTTTTTAAAAATTAATGCTCTATACAAGAAACCAAGTCTGGATTATTATAGTTTAAAAATTTTTCTTAAATGGTTCTACTCATTATGAGTAAAATATAATAACTGTTGTTGAAAATGAAAATTGGTAGCCCTTTGGCAGTGGAAGAGAATTTAACCATATCCCTGGAAGATCTTTAAATTCTCTATTCTATTAGCACATCGTGTTCCACTTCTAGGAAGTTAGTGTTTGGCACATATCCCCCTCCCCACCCCCACCATAACAAGGAGAAAAACCTTTACAAAATGGTATAAGCTAATGCAAATACTGTTAGTAAAAGAAAATGCATGCATATATGTGCAGATAAAAACAGCATATTTTATTCTCTCTTTTTCAAACGTATCCTCTACAGTGTTAAAGTTGTGTTGTTTCACGAGGATGGGACAAGAGAAAAGAAGAAACAAAGAGCCTTTGGTCTTGAGGCTACACTCGGTGAACAAAAGCGAGCACCCTGGCAGCAGGCTGTTCCTTTCCAGATCCCCTCCTCCAACCCAGAGGGACTTCCCGCCACAGTCTTCCGGTTTTCACTCCGGTCCGCCGAGGTTACCGATAAAAAGGAGCTGCGCGGCCTGGAAGCAGTTTTGTGTTTTCACGCTTGCCGAGATGTCTGGTCGTGGCAAGGGCGGGAAGGGCCTGGGCAAGGGGGGCGCCAAGCGCCACCGCAAGGTGCTGCGCGACAACATCCAGGGCATCACCAAGCCCGCCATCCGGCGGCTGGCCCGGCGCGGAGGCGTCAAGCGCATCTCCGGCCTCATCTACGAGGAGACCCGCGGGGTGCTCAAGGTGTTCCTGGAGAACGTGATACGCGACGCCGTCACCTACACGGAGCACGCCAAGCGCAAGACAGTCACGGCCATGGACGTGGTCTACGCGCTCAAGCGCCAGGGTCGCACCCTCTACGGCTTCGGGGGCTAAAGACCAAAGTAACCTTGGATTCTTGTTACTCACCAAAAAGGCCCTTTTTAGGGCCCCCAAGTTTTCCCTGGAAGAGCTTTAGTGCTTGTCTACAAACGGGTCATTTCGGTAGAGCCGTTGTGTAAGCTTTTAGTGCCGTTTTGGGGTAGTTCTTAATACCAGCAAAGTGACCAGAGGCCCAGGTACTCTGACTTTGGTGACCTGAATTCCTGCTGACCAGCCTTTTTTCGCTACGACATGGGAATCGCAGGGAATCTGGTAGATTCTGGATCATTAGTCTAATCCAAAGTCTCAAGACTGGAGATTTAGATCTAAAGGGCCGCACCCAACACTAATTTTCTGTTCTTTTGAATTTAGACCTTAATGTCAGGGTGAAGGGTATAAGCAAAGGAATAAGATCCACACATCAGACACCTTAAGAAATGTGTTTGGTTAAGCGGAGCTGCAGGGAGCTCTAGCAAGGGTCTTGAAAATGTATTGCTCCTCTACACTGTAGAACCTAGATAAAACATTTTAAAGTAGGCATCTCTATGCTGGAAATTTTTAAATTGCTGTATTTCCCATTACAAATCACACTGCTATGGGCGTTGTACACAGCTGTACCCTTTCTGTGTGCAGATCTAGGAGGGGCGTTGCTTTAAGGGGGTCTGCATTTTGGACATGAAATGAGCAACTTGTGTTCCGGGGTTATTTTTGTTTTATATCCCCTTACTCCACAAGTACTGAGCTCCTGTTACTCCCCATCTTCAACATTTCACTAGTGCAGACTAATTTTCTGCCAGTCCACATTTGCTAAACTAAATCTCATGTATTTAAGTTGCGTTTCTCTGATTATAATGAAGTTGTTTAGTTTCTTACAAGCTTTTTGGCTATTTTGGAGACATGTTTAATAATGTTGGGTTTATAGTTTCAGTAGTTTTTGCAAATGATGCCTGTTCATATAGGGGTTATTTCCATCTCCCTTAATTTGCCAAAGAACTGCAGGCATAAGTAGACCAAAAAATTGAGGCTGCTTATCTCATTTGGGTTGGAGAGTAAGGCTTTTCTGAAATTACTGATAACAGACTAGTCTTCCTATTTTCTTAACAAGCAATGATTGATTAACCAAAAGCCTAAAATTTGCAAGGCACTGTAACAGACAAAAGTAGAGTGAAAAAGAAACCATGCCTCTAATAAGTTATTTCAAATTTGTGCTAAATGCTTTCCATGGATTCTTATATAATAATCTTCTGAGATAGATTTTATTTTAAATTGGCAAAATATATGTGCTGACAGCCAAGTCAACCAAGTCACAAATGTTATATTCTATAACCCAAACCTGTAATATTTTTAACCACTCTCTGGGTAGCTAGAGAAGCCATCACAGAGAGTGGGTTGCAGTCCTGGTCCTTTCTATGATGCAGAACTGAGGAGAGCTTCCAGACAGGTACAAGATGTGCCTCTATTCCAATCTGATCCAATTATTCCAATCTTTTCTACAGTAGGTCTGACGGACTGAGAAAGTCACTTATTCTCTCACTCTGTTCACACAGATTTCATACTGGCTCTGGAGAGCACAGAATTTAGCAGCTGAAATCACAAAGTTCAGATCAATGTTCTTGTACAAATAGGCAAACAGTTGTACAGACTTTTATTTGCTCAAATTACCAGAGGCACAGGATTCCACTTGTTATTTATGTACCCTTGTTTTTCCCCATTATACCACCTACCACTTATTAGCTCTCTAGCCATATGTATAACAAACTAGTAAACTAGCCGCGTATCTTTTTTGTGAGCTCCAGTATTCCATTTCTTTATTCGGGAGAAAAGCTGTCTACTTGCAGACCTTCCCCCCCCCCCCCCCCCCCCCGATGGTCTGCCAAGGTCCCGATCCCTTGCGGGCTGGAGAGGCCAACTTTTTAAAGCTTGAGGAGAGAAACGCTGTCGACTTAATGCCCCTTCCGCCATTGCAATCGCCTCGGACATGAGATGGCTGCTGAGCGACAAGGCGGATTTTGGTCAATCACTGGGGGCTAAATTTACTAATACATAAACGCGAATTGGAACTGCAACGGAGAAAGGCCACAAGACCCAAGCTGTTAGGATTTAAACAAGAAGCCACTCTCGCACACAACCAAAGGATACACTTTCACGCCAGAGATAGGAATTCTTTGCGCTCACACACAGCACACACTCCCGTTAACGTCTCTTAAGGGTCCGGCTTACATACGGCGACAGACGCCGCGCGGTACATCCGGTTCCTTCCGGCCAAAGGCAGTTACGAGCACAGCGCGCGTTACTCAGAGCAATGGGATCCGCACAGCCGCCTCGGGGTAACTGCCTGAAACTGAAGCCTCGATCCCGGCCGAGTATTTGCAGCTCTCTTACCGACAACTTAGTGGCTCTGAAAAGAGCCTTTGGGTTAAGTTTAAATGTGCTTACTTGACGAGGTTACTTGGCGCTGGTGTACTTGGTGACGGCCTTAGTGCCCTCGGACACGGCGTGCTTGGCCAGCTCCCCGGGCAGCAGCAGGCGCACGGCCGTCTGGATCTCCCTGGACGTGATGGTCGAGCGCTTGTTGTAGTGCGCCAGGCGGGACGCCTCGCCCGCGATGCGCTCGAAGATGTCGTTGACGAACGAGTTCATGATGCCCATGGCCTTGGACGAGATGCCCGTGTCGGGGTGCACCTGCTTCAGCACCTTGTACACGTACACCGAGTAGCTCTCCTTGCGGCTGCGTTTGCGCTTCTTGCCGTCCTTCTTCTGCGCCTTGGTCACCGCCTTCTTGGAGCCCTTCTTCGGGGCCGGCGCCGACTTGGCGGGTTCAGGCATGATTCGGAAAAAATGCCAAAAACGCTGAAGAAAAAGAGAAAAAGCGAAAAAAAGAATGTGAGCCGAGTGCGACTAGTCCCTTTTATACAGAAACCTTATGCAAATAAGGTGTAAATTACAGTCCTGTGTCTGATTGGTGGCCATTCAAGGTAACGTCAGAAGTTGGTGCTGCCCAATCAGAATGCAAGGATCCCAGAGCTGCACTTCCATTGGTTAAGAAGAAGCTGCAATCTTAACCAATGAGAAGCCTTCTTTTTCGCGCTCAACGGGGGTTATAAAGAGTGCTCGGGCGGTTCTTCAGTCTCTGCAGTTCTTTCCAGTGTGGTTGAACTTGATATGTCTGGACGCGGGAAGCAGGGCGGCAAGGCGCGCGCCAAGGCTAAGACGCGCTCTTCTCGCGCGGGCTTGCAGTTCCCGGTGGGCCGCGTGCACCGCCTGCTCCGCAAGGGCAACTATTCGGAGCGGGTCGGGGCCGGCGCGCCCGTGTACCTGGCGGCCGTGCTCGAGTACCTGACGGCCGAGATCCTGGAGCTGGCGGGCAACGCGGCGCGCGACAACAAGAAGACGCGCATCATCCCGCGCCACCTGCAGCTGGCCATCCGCAACGACGAGGAGCTCAACAAGCTGCTGGGCCGCGTCACCATCGCGCAGGGCGGCGTGCTGCCCAACATCCAGGCCGTGCTGCTGCCTAAGAAGACCGAGAGCCACCACAAGACCAAATAAAGAGGAGCGAGGTTAGGGACATTGAAAACCAAAGGCTCTTTTCAGAGCCACCTACCATTTCAAAGAAAAAGCTGATACACTTGATCTGCACTTTGGTTTTGTGGGGGTGAGTAATACCGTCAAGTGTTTTAGGAGGAGCAACTCGACTGCTAATCCTAGACGTAGTCAGACCTACAGGTAAGGCTAACTTGAAGATCGTTCGGGGAGGAGGCTAAGAGGCTCAGGAAACTTTGCTATATAGTTACAAAAGGAGCCAAACGGGCAAGTCCCTGAGCCCATTTTAATGAGGGTCTTATCAATTACTGGTTTTAAGCGGCCAAAAGTAAAGCGAGAATGCATTGACTATTGTCCCAGGATAACCTAAGCAATCTGCGTATAGTAGAGTTCTCAGGACAGCTTGACTTAAGTGGTCTAACTACAATTTTCACCAGATGTTGCAATTGTTAGTGGCCATTTCCATTTTCTTTAAGATTTCACTCTGAAGGGAGTTAGTCTGATATTGATTAAAGATACACTGAATGTACTGAAGCCCACGTTAGTAAATCCTTGGTCCTATTTCTTTTGAACACATGTACTTGCTTAATTCACTCAGCTCAGGACACAACAGTGGGTGCAATCTAGAATATCTGCCTCTGGGAGCGACTTCCAGGCAGGGGAGACAAATAAACATAAATAGGTAAGGTGATAAGTATCCTATGAAGAAAAGAGAGAAGCTACAGACCATAAGGGGGACTCCTACTTTAGATAAAGGGTAACTGATCAGAGACCTACATAAATCAAAAGAGAGGAGCCAGGTAGGTATTAGGGGAGGAGAATTCCAAGTAGAGGGAACTGAAAATGCAAAGGCCTTAAGACAGAAAGCATGTGGAAACAGCCTGCAGGCTCTGAAGGCTATGATGGAAAAGCAGGAGGTGGCAGCACAATATAGGACTTTGTAGGGTATGTAAATTAATGTGTATGAGTGATCAGAAACAATAGCACTCCTGAGCTCTGAGGTAATAAATTTGATAATACAAATCAGCTAGATGTGAAAATCTATGGACTCCAACCCATTTTAAAAACAAACCAAAAAAAAAGATACTAAAAGTAAAACTAACTTTATCATAAAGCTCACAAACAGGAGCTCACACTTTATACTTCAATACACACAGATTTATTTGCTACTGAATGGAAGGGAGAAAATTTCCTCTGTCCGAGCTCCTTCTAGCAGGACTAAGAATTAAATTGACATGAAACAGATTAACAGGAGAAAAAAATTTTATAATGTGCATGGAGAGGTCCAGTAATGAAATTGACACCTGAAAGAATGATCAAAGCAGGCAGTTTTTATACATTTTAGACAAAGAGAAAAAAAAAATCGTGAGGATTTGACAGGATAAAGAAAACAGATGTTTGGGAGCCTGAATTAGTTAGGAATTCTAATTAAAAGTTGGGTTTAAGTAGTAGATTAGTAAAGAAGTAACAAAGTTTGTTTCTACAGCTTTCTTGGCTCTCAATTTCCTATCTCTGGTGATAAGGATATCTTTTACATCTCAGCCCTGGGAGCGTGACTTGAATAGAGGAGATTCATTTCCTGCTTTCAGTGTGATGTCCTTGCGCCTGCTGTTTCCCAAGTAGCTCCCATTCAAGATAATCACTGTGCCATTGTGATACACTTTAGGACAGCCTGCCCTGGGCCCCTACACTACTCCTAGTCTTTGTGTGCAGAAGCCCTATTGAATAAAACAAGAGTAAAACGCAGGAGACCCAGGAAAAAGATTATGGTAGTATAGCCACACAGGTCATGTCCTCTGGGAGCAGATGCCCAGATGGAGCTTGGGGCACAAAATGTGATTAGGGGCCAACAGCTGTGAACGGAGGAAGAGGAACAAGGATAGGACAGAAGAGGATGGCAGACTGTGCTACAAGGCAGACAAATGTGGGAGCTCTGACGCCTGGGTTGCCTACCAGTGATGCCCCATGCCAGGCAAAAACTCCCCTGGGCCAGTCTTTATAGCCTCACTTTGCTCTGTCAGTTCCTGTGGGCTGCCATGGACAAGGGTGTGACCTGGAGTGGGGCAAAGCCATAGGGAGCTCAGCAGCTGCCCAGCTCCAGACCACAGTCACTCTGCAGCTGGGCTGCAAGTCTTTCCTGGCGGGGAGGGGGGGGGGTGGACACGGACTCTGGACATTTTTATGTCTCTGACATACATTAACATGAATATAAGTATCAAAGTTATGTCAATGATGGTATTTGAAAAACTTACTTTTTACTACTTTCATTGGGGAATTCAAAAGGGATGTGTTTTCTTTTTAGAGAAATGAGAAAACTAGACTTTCTGAAAATCTTTAGTAAGGTTATATACTCCTGTAAGAATCTTATATGTTTCCATCCTTGCAAATGGAAGGTGACATAAAACAATTGTAAGGACTCCGAGAGGAGCTTTCTTCCACTGGCCTGCTCTCCGTTCTCCAGATGCAGCAAATCACTTCACGTATCCACTACTGGGAAAAAATCCAGCTTTGCAGCATTAGGTGAAAGCTCCGAAATGAATAGTTGAGGCCCAGACGAGAGGAGAGTGAGCCATTAAAGAGAGGTTTTAAGGGCAGAATCCCCATGATGAGATTTGAGATTAGCACTCTTAATAAGAAGAGACCAGAACACCTTCCCCCGCCCCCGCCCCAGCCCACAAACAAATCACGTGAGCACACGGGGAGATGGGGACCCCTACAAGCCAGGAGACAGGTCCTGAGCAGACACTGAATCTGCCGGCACCTTGGTCTTGTACTTCCCAGACTCCGGAACTGTGAGAAATAACTGAGTGGCTGGGTGGACTGGGGAGACCCTGGGCCCTAGGGCCTCGACTCAGCCAGACCCAAAGGAGTCCACAAAAGGTTCTCTTTCTTGTGCTGAGGAGGGGTTCAAGGACAGACATGTACACAGGGGACACGAGACAGAAGCCAGAAATTTATCAAAGCGAAAAGTTACACTCTCGAGATATGAGAGCAGGCGGCTCAAGAGGGAAAGAGAGAGCTGTGTCCCCCAGAGACTGGGTTTCTGTCTTTTTTGGACAGTTGTTAACGAGGAGGCAGAATAGTCATTACTGGGGGCCGGAAGCAGGGTCTCTTCACCGGCTCAGGGGTTTCCGGTCCTGGCACCGCCATCTTGGGCCTGTCTGGTGGGATCCGGCTTCTCGCGGAGGCTGCCCTGGACGGCCCCTGACCTTCCCCACAGCCGGCCGTGGCCTCCTCCTTGCTGGCCTCCAGGCATCCACTTTGAGCCTCACTAACTATCTGCTTTAACATTTGTTATTTAAGCCATCCGGCCTATGGTACTTGTCATACCCTCCAACAGAGTTAGACAAAGTGCAGTGTTGTTTCTTTAATCCAAATCTCAATTTGTAAGAGATAAATCTGTAAATCAGGGTATTATCTACCCCAACACACAGCCCACACATAACTGCCTTCTCTTAACTATCTGGTCTTACATGGTCTAAAGTGTGCAAAACTTGGGTGAGGTTGTTCAAAAGAAGATGTCGGAAGATTTTAGCAGGAGTATCACTATCAGATTTGCACTAACAAATACAAAATGAGAAAGCATAAAACTAGACTTAATTATTCAAGTAATGTTTACAGTAGCAGATTCCTGAATATGGGGACCATAGTTAATACATACTTTTTCCCATGTTCGATTCCTTACCCCCTCATCTTCATACCTATTACTAGATGGAGCTGTTGTAATGCATTGGGGATAAGGAACAATTGTAAGGTCAAATCTAATATTGAATATCAAATCAAATCAAATATTTATACCCCAAAGTAACTGCATGATTCAGGTAATTAATAAGGATAAAATCTCAGGAATGCATGTGGTTATGGATAATGAGGACGCTTGACTGAGGACAAAAGAATATAGGCTGACATCTTTGACAGGGCTTCACTTACCAGGGAACCTCAGTCCCAGGTGTGCTATTCTAAGCACCTGATAGGAGTTCTGATTATTTACAGGAATGACTGACTGATATCTAGATCCACAATTGGCCATGAGTATATGAATTTAAGATCTCAAGCCTTCCTTGGAATAATACGAAGGAAAATACCAAAAGAACTCTGAGGGTAAAATTGCTTGTGCAAATGAATATTATTTGACCTATCCAAAGCCAGCCTTCTTTTCATGGTAGAATTGCTAAACTCATTGATATTTTCGTGGAGAGATCATTGCATCTCCTACTTTGTTTGCTCAAAAGTTTACGAATTAATAAAATTATCCGACCAGAACTAGAAAGCATTGTCAGGGATCGGCCTGTCGGATTTGGTCCAGCACCACTGCTGAATAAATCAGGAGGCTCCCAGAACATACTAGTCAGTCTCCAACATATCCTTTCAGTAGATCAGTTTATGTAAAGAGATAATATTAGAGTTTTTCCATCTCTCTCCCTGGGGGAAGGAGTAAGGCGTTACAGTGGTCATTTCGCCCCACTCCACCCTCAAGAACTAACCCAGCACTGTTGTCAGAAGCAACTAGAAATCACAGTGAGCTGCCTCTCTTCCCCCAGTGAATCAGGTAGGACAGTGTGGTGGTACCTGGTTTCCGCATCTGATCAAGCCTGCTGTAATCTCCTCTTTGTCTTTTACTACCCAACCAGCGTTTGCACGAAGTGGAGAGAAGTAGAAAGTTTAAGTTTGCAGAAAAGATCAAGAGTTCAGCTGCAGACATACTCGATGGGAAATGTCTGTGAGACATCCAGGGAAGGGGAGGGTCCAACCAAGAGGCTGAACATCACCTTTGGAGTTCCGGGTAGAGGTCTTGGCTGAAACCCCGGAGTGTGGGTACAACCAGATCTAATCCCCCAAGGAAGTGAGAGAAGGTAGAGAACGAGACCGAGGTTTGAGGATTTGGAAAGCATGAAGCATTTTGGCTCTGCCGAGAAGCGTTATCTGGACAGCTGTCCAGGTACTTCTGAGCTCCCTTGCTTGCATTTTCTATGGATCTTCAAAATGCCACAGGCCGCCCTAACCCGGGCATCCCCGTCCACACA